ACCTGATCCAGAACTAACTATAGGCTTTATCAAAGAGAAGAGTTTTAAGTTTAACTTTAAATGCTGAGATGGTGTCTGCCTCCTGAACCCAGAGTGGGAGCTGGTTCCACAGGAGAGGAGCCTGGTAGCTGAATGTTCTACCTCCTGTTCTACTCTCACAGACTCTCTGAACCACTAGAGAGCCTGTGTTTTGGGAGCGAAGGCATCTATTGGGACAGTGCGGAGCTATGAGCTCTTTCATATATGATGTGGCTTGATTGTTGGGGGAATTATGTGAGCAGCAGGATTTTGAATTTTACAGGGAGCCAATGCAGTGAAGCTAAGACAAGTGCCATATGATCTCTTGCAGTTACCGTCAACACTTCAGACAGAAGAGGATTTAAACCAATTGAGTCCATAAGTAAAATGCAGAATTAAGGCCGTTATTAAAGGTCCAGTGTGTAAGATTTGGGTGAAAGGGATCTATTGGCTGAAATGTAATGTAGAATAATCCTCATGATGTTTTCACTAGTTCGTTTCATCTAAATTGTATGAATTGTAGTTTTCTTTAGCCCGGAAAAGGTCCTTTATATTTAAATACTTTATATTTACATTGAGGGGACCCTCTCTATCGAGGCTGCCATGTTTTTTTACATTAGTCCAGACTGGACAAACTAAACAACTATTGAGATTTTTTGACAATTACATTTTTGACAGGTTCTTTTTAATGTTTGGAAGGAGAGGGTGAGGTGAGGGGTGTTCAGCTGCAACATGAAATTTCAACACTAGATATCACTAAATTCTACACACTGCACCTTTAAGCAAAATCAACATGAATGTGGAAATCCCCTACTATAGTGACTTTATCTCTTCCATTCACACACACATTCATACAGTGCATCTATTTGCAGCACTTTCTTTATCATACATCATTCATACACTGATGGCACAGCCGTCAGGAGCAATTTGGGATTCAGTATCTTGCATAAGGAGACTTCGAGGCATGGAATGGGTGAGGCGAGGATAGACTAACCAACCTTCTGGTTTGTGGACGACCATCCTGAGCCACAGCTGCCCACTAAACTGTAGTTTTTGTTTCTAAGGCCCTGATCTACTAAATGTTTGTGAGTGTAAAATGTGTGCAAACTTGATTTCGATAATTTGTGATTTACAAAGCCTGAAAATAATTGCGTGGATTGTGACTGCGCGTATATTACACACGTTTGTAGGGTAGGTGCGTGTTTCTTTGAGTTATATTAATATTTCTTTGCTGTAGCTCAACAACATGTTTGTTTGCCTCTTCCACTAACTACTCCAAATTCATGGGATTGAATTTCGCTTTGCACTTCTGGTCACTCTGCTCTCTGTAATGCTCCATGGTGGAAACCAGTAACGCACGCAAAACACTCATTTAAATGCTACTACCTCTACCATGTTTGCACCTGTTATCATTCACGCAACTATTTTTACTAGATCACCAGCAAAACGCCTACCAACCGAACATGTAATCTGTTGTAATGCAATGCAATTAAGCACTCTTTATTTGGGATCTTAGTAGATCAGGCCCCAAGTTAATGTATATCTCTATAATTTGTAGTTTTTTCATTTTCTTCAAAGTAATTTCCCAATTACACCAATCCTAAGACACTTAGTAATTTGTCAATGCATATACAGTATATGCTTCAGGTGAGTCCATACCATTATTGTGATGTGTTACTATCAGGAATGCCTAAAGAAAAGTCCGTAACATCTGGCACTAACATTCAGTTAAAGTTGAGGATCAGCGAAAACGAACATTGTTGGTCAAATGTCCAGGTTGCTGTTACCTCAAAACACAATCATTTATATGCTAATCATAATAAAATACACATTTTCTTTGTCTTTGACATCTTGTATGTTGAGAGGTTAGTGAAGGGAAACAACTGTGGACCAGCTCTTCTAGTTTCTTCCTCTTTCTAGAATCAAGAATCATTTAATTCTGACAAAACTCTAAACAGAAGTGTTTTCCAATAGCCTTTTGCTCGTGTCTCTCCAGGTTACATTTTATTGTCTTCTCTCCTTCTCTGGGAACCTGATGTTAGCAATCATTTCCAGAATGTCGGGAAACCACTCCACATTCAGCCTCGCCTCAACTCACATATCGGTTTCTGATGCCAAAAGCGACGAGATGAGACGCTTTGTGTCACTGTTTGTTTTATTTTTTACTACTTGTGTAGGTGGATGTCACCATTGACGTGGAGCCATGCACAGATGGCTGTCACTGTGTGTGTGCACTTCTTTCCGTATGTGCCCCTGTATACCTCAGCATTGCATGGAAGACTTACAGTCTGTCGGCCGTATGCTGCTTTTTTTCGAGCTCACACACCCACACAAATACACACACATATACACACACACAGCAGGCTGTATTTTTAGCTGACTTGGAGCCTGGTAATCGTGGGAGCAAGAGAAAGAGAAAAGGAGCAGGGAAGAGTAGAAAACATTGTTTTTCTGGTCCTCTTACACATTGCTTATGGCAGTTGCATTGCATTTTAACCTCTCTAATACACTATGTTATTGTACCACCACGATATTAATATATGAGCAAGACTTCATTAAATAATCATATGTTTTGAAAAAGCAGGTCCCTGAAGCTGGCCAAAAGACACTTCAACACTTTGTGTAACACTCACACACCCAGAATAAGAGGGGCCTGTTGAATCCTCTCTTTTGTTTAACAGCCATTGATCTCACTCACACTGAGAGCTAAAGGACAAACACAGACTGCTGCTGTGACCCTGTATGTGTGCAGGATTATCCATCATGTTTGGGTGTTTGCGGATTTGAATTCTTTCAGGTTTTGACTTGTTTGATGTTTGTGTCTCACGAACCATATATAACATGTAGCTTATAATTCATGGGTACTATGGATTAGGCCTTACCTCAGTTCTTTGATTTTTTTTGATACTGTACACAATGAACTTGTCCGAGTGATTGATGTGAGAACTGTCCCAAAATTAATTGCCAACCTATCACCCTACACATCCTTTACCATTCACCTGCATGTAATGCAGGCAGGACTCAGACCAGGCAGTAGAACTGTGCTATGACCGATTTCAAGATTGTAACAATCATCATTAAAAGGAACAAATGTGCTTTTGTTAAGATGCTCAGCTTTCGAGGGCAGTTTACTGTCCAGGGGCCTCATTTATAGATTATAGATTATTTAGATTCCGATTCATAAAACCCCATGGATCTGCCTCATATTGCGCCTACAGGCCCGCATTCAGCCATAAACGGGCAATGCAAAGCAGCTCATGAATATTAAATCATCTCCAGCATCGAGGTGTTTGTTATTGAGGTGGAGGTGAAGAAAGATTGATGGTGGCCACAGCCGTGATGTTATTAATAAAGAAAAAACACTGATACACTGCTGCTGCAGATAATACAGTGAGTGACAGTGAGTATGATAGAAAGAATGGGGCTTGAAATTAAAAACAAAAATCGAATTCAAATGTGGAAGAAAAGAAATGTGAGGTAACTTGTTGTGTTGCCCGTACGTGTTTTAATCATCCAAAACTGCAGGATTATTTAATTTTAGAAAGTCATACCTCATCATACCACACACATACCTGTGGGCTAATAAACCAGAGTGGTGAGAACTTGTGTTTGGACTGGGATGGTTCAGTTCAGTCAGGTCGATCTATGTAATACTGGATTCAGTTCAGCACAAAGATCTCAGATCGCAGCTCTATAGAATCTGTATCAGCTGATTAGTCATCATCATCATGAGATAAAACATTTATTTGATCTCTGAACACTCATTTCCTCCTCCTCACAGCAGTATTTATATATAAATACTGTGCTAAATATAAATATATATATTTAGTGCAATCTGCTTACTTTACACATCAGTGAGAGCCTAACCTCCACTCTGGGATATTATTTGGAAATGGAGGTTTACTTTTTTGTGAGTGATCTCCAGTGCCCTGACGGCACAGTCAAGTTCACTGCAGTGATTTTACACACACACTGTATGAAAACTAAAGTCGCCTTTGATGACACACACGCAGTGTTAGAAGATATTATTAAAACTATTAATGACTTGGCTCTGAAACTCTGCTGTTTAATTTGATCTAACAAGTTTGCTGTCAGTTGTTTTATATCTTTTTCAATGGAAGGTTCTTATGGAACAGTTATGTCGCGTGAGCAGAAATAACACTCTTGGTTTTAATGAAAATGATGAAGCGGATCAATAATCTGCTTCAGTTCACCACCTCACGTCTGCAACGTCATTTTCCTTTCTCTAAAATGTTTGCATGTATGCATGAGAGTTAGCTCACAAGTGCACACACTCTCCCGTCGGGTCTGTTTTTTAGATACCAATGTTTTCCTGAGAAGTGGCATAAGCATCCTTCAGGCCCTGTTTTGTGTGTATGCAACGGTCATAAATGAGGCCCCAGGACTTTATAATATTCTGTTTATGTTGACTCAGAGTAAATCCAACTGTTTCATGTTGCATGTATTTTAGTGACCTGTCTGTCAGGTCACAAATGCACACTACTGGAAACTCCTGGTCGATGGTCCACTGACGGGGGCTGAGCAGACACTACATAAGGGAGGGAGGCGCTCTGTCTTTGGTCCCATCAGCACTTTGCAGTTCTATTTGAAAGACATTGCTTTCTACACAGCTATCATTTGAGTATAAGCAAGTGATGAACTATTAAGATTCAGGTCTTTCCTACAAACACTGGACCTTCAATTCATTTTAAAATGCATTTGAGACACTTAAATATTTGAACTGAAGTAAATTACATGACTTGAATCAGCATTGTGGTTTCCACCTCTATCTCCTCCATGCCACTACAGTGAAACTCCTGCATAGAGGCAGGCCTACTAGGGAATATGAATTTTAGTGACTCCAGATTAAAACATCTTAAATATATGGATATACAGAAAACATACTGCTGCTTTTATTGTCAGGCAAACTGTAACGTGCATTATGCATCTTTCATTTGTGTCCTTTATTCTGTCTTTTCCAGCAGACAGATGATGCCGCTCAGACGGACAGTCAGCCACCAACACAGTCTGTACCTGAAAGCACAGATAACAAAGCCCAACCCAAGAGACTTCATGTCTCCAACATCCCCTTCAGGTTCCGAGACCCAGATCTCAGGCAAATGTTTGGCGTAAGTACAAAAATGTAACACATGTCAGGTGCATTTTGTATATTTTATATATGATATATTTTGGTTCACAACCACGACATTGAATTTAGGATGATGAAAATGAGATTTTTTTTGCTTGTCTCTCTACAGCAATTCGGCAAAATCTTAGATGTGGAAATCATCTTCAACGAGCGCGGTTCCAAGGTACGTGATACTTTTAAATTCTTAATCTTTTCTTATTTTTTTAACTGTTTTGCTCCAACAATCAATCAGAGCACACGTTTAAATTTAAGTAACACTTTTGGTTCTGCCTCCCATATATTGGATCAGCTTTAAGGTGAGGTAAGCGATTTGGTTGAAATTTGAACTCCACAGACAAAAATCACTCTTCTGCCCTTGAACAAGACAACAGTTGGGCACTAATGTACCGCTACTGCTGCACCAGTGGTGTTGCATGACTAGCTCCTTGCATTAGTAGAAGTACATGCTTAACATGAATAGGAGCTAATTAGGAAATGTCAGCTCACAAAAGTTGGAATTACCCATCACAAACATAATCAAAAAGGAAAAGAATGGAATGAATCCAGGTGTCAAGCAGAAACACAGAAACCCCTTCGTCCTCTTTCATCCGTTTCAACTCCAGGTCGTCTTCTACACCAATGACATCATGGATGTTCACGTAGGTCTTCAATACTATGAAATGTTTGTGGGTATGACATTGTGTGAGATAATGGTGGGAGCAGAAAGGCATTTTCAGTAGTCTTTACATTTTGAAACAGTAGTGGCAGTGCATATTATTATGATTATTATTAACACAACTGTACAGTTGAATCAATGTCATACAGCAGACTGTATTGAGAAGGCTAGCTTCCAGTTAGTTTGAATAAGCATAATTTTGATTAAAAGATCATATATTTGAAATGTAAATTGTGACTTTTTAAAAAAAAAACAATCATTATTAGTTTGAGAAACTTTACTGTCCTTCACATCTCAGATAATCAGGACACTTGTCTAACCTCTTTTTCATAAGTACAACAAGATAGGTGCAGTTAGTGATACCGACAGTGAAAAAACACATTATTGAGGGATGCTGGTATTGATGACAACGTTGTAGGTTGATGTTCAAAGTTAAGTATATCAATAAAGTTTCCACTCTATTTCCGGAACAACCCAGAGTCACGGCTGATCAATACTGGAATATTAAAACGTCCTCATTAGAACATCCTTCTGTTATACTGAGCTTGAATATTGTTCATCAAGGATGATGTTCCTGAAGTCCTGAAGTTTTTACAATGCGCCGCTTTCATCTTAATGTATTTTTTTAGGTTTGGCCACTGTTCTTAGCTCGCTATTATAACAGTGTGTTTTTTTCTTAGTGCCAATGCCACACCATAAAAATACTTAATTTTCCCCTCATTCTTTTGTTGAATTTAATTTCCTATGTAATGACTTCATTAGAGGGAACCAATCTCCTTTACCACTATGCAATATAGGTAGACAATTTACTGTATGTCTAACATTTGCTCGCAGTTGTGATTCACCCCTTGAAAGCATTTATTTTAGAAACATGTTATTAATCCTTAAGGCCTAAGTGTAATGGGGCGGTGTAGTTAATGAATGGTAGTAAACAGTGGAAGTCTTCAATTTCAATGATTGACCATTATGAATAAAATGCCATACCGTTGGTTTCTTTTACTTTTTTCTTGCTCATTTACTTTATTTGATGAAAGTCCTATGTGAATAATTGTTGTTACCCTGAACAGCTATTTACATCTAATGTATGGCAATAACATTAGCATGTGTCACTAATTGTAGCATGTTTAGCATGTTATCATGTTATGCGACCTAAGTGCATATTTAAGACCTATTATTCGATATTGGCATGTAAAAACTGAAATCGAAGCTGAACATTTTAATCCATTGGGTTCCTATTGATGTAAGCCACAGTTCACTGTAATGTTGAATCTAATGTGTATATTGTTCTTACCTCTCTGTCTGGCATGCAGGGTTTTGGATTCGTAACATTCGAGCACAGTGTGGATGCCGACAGAGCCAGGGAGAAATTACACGGCACCGTGGTAGAAGGTCGTAAAATAGAGGTGCATGTTCTCAAATATTTATCTGGACTTCTCCCTCCTCCCTGTCCTACTTTACATTTTTTGTGTATGTGTTTTTGTATGTGCGTGGGTCTGTGTGTGTGAGTGTTTGACAAGTCTACTTGCCACGTCCCATTTTGCCACTTTCTCATGACATCAAACTGAGTCATCATTTCCCTTTTCTTTTTTAGCCGTTTCATTAACCAACACACAAGTAAACGTTGAACTTGTCCGTCATTATTGTATGTGAGAGACTTTGCTTGTTGTATTTTTTGTTAGTTAACTTTTTTTTTTCCATTTTCCTATTTTTATAGATTTTGTACTGTGAAGGACCTTACCAAAGGTTTAAAAGTGAGAATCCACACTACCCAGCCCACAGGCAAAAATGTAATATATGTTTAAAAAAGAAAGGAACTTAGTCCCAGTCCTGAAATCTTGCTTATCCATGGACAGAGGAAGTGCTTAGGAATTTGAAGACTCATGGAGAGCGAAATGCAAGGTTTACAACTCACCAGACTCGGTAGAATTACATTATATTAGTCTCACTCAATATCTTGTGTCCACTCAATGGAGTAGATACAAGACATCACTAACCTTGAAGCATAACTTAAGACTGGTGTAAACCTTTTTCCACCAAACACTCAATAAAGTCCAAACTATTCATCCCATTCATTCTCTCCACATTTCAACTCTGGACCATTTTGTAGAATCTTCACAGTCCAAAATAGAGTCTGGAGCATGGGGACTTTACTACATGGGCTGCACTTCAGAAGGGAATAACATTGGTTTTAAATGATTGGGAAGATTAGGCATTGAGCAACAATGGGTTGGGGCATTAAAAAGTTAAAACCCAAATACCTCAAGTAAAATAAAAGTGCTTGTTTGGACCATGTTTGGGTTTGTGTCCATCTATCACATGTCCAATGCTCCATTTGAAAAACCTTCATACCGGTACCACAAATTCCTCCTCCCCAACTGCCAGCATCATTTTTGTCACATAGCTATGTGGGCCCATAGCTGGGCCTTCTACTTCACCCCTGTACCTACTCACTCCCCTACCGCCTCCTATTATTGTATCTTATTAACCCTAAAAACACAGGTATGAAGTAATGTAGTTATGAGAAACAGACAGCCCCTATGGTGACATGTGCCTGTTGCTCTTATCTGTGCCTCCTTTCTTTTTCTGAATTAATTTATAATAACACACAGCTTTGGGCCATTGTTTGTTGATTTGGAACTACAATATTTCTTTCCATATTCCCTTGCCCAGTCTCCCACATACTGGACCTTCTGTGCCACAGTCATTCTCCATCTCAAAACCACAATGTTTATCTTGTGGCTCTAGCAGGTCAAAGCCCTTTCCAGAGGTAGCAGGACTATCCAGCTTAAGCAGTACACACTGTGTTTCCGCAGTTGACCAATAATCCCCTTATTTGCCTGGCCTTTGACAACATATTCTCAAAGCTAATTGTTTTGAGCCACATTAGCCCTTTAGATCCTTGTTGCATCCAACTAAAGCTCACTTCATACTTCAATTTGCTATTGTGAACCAAAGAACACACATCAGCAGAATTCATTTCCACAGTTCGGTTCCAACTCTTTGCAATCAGTATATCTTTCCCTATTGAAGACCTAAAAAAGTCTTTGCAATGTGTATTTAAAAGTTCAGGCTTCTTCTCTAAACATCTTCTGCAGCAAGAGGCTTCCACAAGACAAAGGAACATACATTAGGTCCAAGGTGTCTTCCAAGGAAGCTTGTATCTTTACATTTCAAGCTTTCATTTCATTACCACCCATGGTACTAGTACATGCACCCAACCACCCAATACTCCCATTACATTTTCATAATGCCAGCTAACTATATCTGAGCAAAGCAGAGCTCCTTATATTGTCCTTATATGCTTTTTCCTTTTGTGACACCAGTTAAGTTCAATCTGCTTTGGTTAATGTGAGAGATGGAAACAGACCACCATATAGATTTCTTCAGGTACAAATAAGATGAGGGAAAAACTAAAGCACAAATTGACCCTGTATTTGTCAATGTGTTCTCAAAGTCTGCCCATCAAAAGTAGGACTGAGCTTTCAGCAGTTTATCTTTGCAACGTATAAACAGCTCTGAATTGATTAGTACGATGCTGAGGAATTTGAATTTAAATCCAAAATGAAATGATTTCCTGTAGCATACGTCTGTGATTGCTCAGCAGATTTGTGGCTGTTTATTCGCATTGAACTTTGGAGATAATCATATCTGCTAAAAGTGCACATCACACAGAATTATATCAATTCAGCATTCAGATTTGACAGAGTTATGATTCTGAAGACTATTTCGAACTCAACTCATTTAAGTTATTCAATCTTGTCCAAATGTGACTTAAGCATAATTATCAGCCAATTCCTTTCAAGCCCCACAACTTTATCCACTTGTTAGAAGTGAAAGAGAGAGGAGGTCTTTCAGTCTAATTTCTGGATTGTCATGTTTACAATGACAAAAACTGTATTTAATAAAGTTTGATCATTTACGTTAATTCTTCTCAGCCTCCACCCATCTGCCCAACTCTCTGCAATGCACTGAACATCTTTGTATGAACCAAATTAATGTTCAACATCTCTAGATAATTGCACTGATATAAATTTTGCATTAATATAACTATTTGCTTCATACGATTGTCCTTAAGTTCAAATCACAAATCTCCTGAAACATAAGCTTGGGTAAGGATAAATATTATAATTATTTTCTGAAGTTTTAAATTAACACAATCAAATTGACCTCAGGAATGAAAGAAATCAGTAAATTTGAAAATAACAAGAAGGTTAAGTTGTGCTGCCCTAATGAATTAATACCATGATCTCACAGCTCCAGGATTGTGTACTACTTCAAGAAGTGAAGCGTCACTAGCAGTGATAATAATTAGAGATGATAAAGCAATGGCCCAGGTTGCATCAAAAATAAGGCACTGCAACGGTCCACTTAAATTCAAGCACCAACCTGAACATATTCATAGATATCAATCACCTAAATATGCCTGATTTTCTTAATCAGGGTACATTATTTCCTGGGAAATTAATAAAAAAATATTTTTAAAAAGCTGTTGGGCAATGTTAAAGAAAGTGATTTAAAAAAACACTTACCACTCCATTGTGCGGATCATGCCAAAGTTTAAAGCATTCCTTCTTAGCTCGTATGCTATCCTTCCCACAAGTTTTATGGAAATCTATTTTGTAGTTTCTACATAATCCTGCTGACAAACGAAAACACAACTACACAACCAACCAACGGACCAACAAATAAACAGATATTAGTGAAAACATAACCACTGTGGAGGTGGTGATAAAGGATGCTTTTAGATTTAACTGATTTATAAATCCATAAAATATACATACTCTTACTGCATTCCAAGTCTTTCCTAAAGTTTAGCCAGTATCATGAATAAGACTTTGGTCCAAGTGTGATGGATGACGACAGCTTGTCCGGACAAAATGGTGGGAGTTAAACTTTAAGAAACTGCTGCTATACAGAGAGCTGAAAGAGAGTTTGTGCAGTGGAATGATTGCAAAACTTTCTTGGCCACCTGAGTAAGATGCTGCTTATTCCTTTCTCATCCCCTCCTCCCCCACCATCTTTCCAACGGTAGCTTGTTTAGGGCCCCATCCAACACAGTTACAGCGGTAACAGTACACAAACAAGTGGGAGGGGCCAAAAGGTTTGGGAATGGTAAGTGTGGGCGAGCAAGCCATTCTGCCAGCATTTCCTCTCACTCTTCCTCTCTCTTTGGAACGTTTGCAACGCTAAAACTCACGTTACATTTCTTTTTGAATTGTGGTTGGGTTGATGCTGTATATTGACATACATATTTTCTTGCGTGTCAGCGTGTGTCCATTCACTAAGTGTTCTCCTGAAGCTGCGTGTGCGAGCGATACTGACTGAGACATGAATCTGTTTGCACCTTAGAGATTGTTGGAAACCCATTTATGTTTTATTTTGTTTTATTTTGGAAATCAGTGCACCCTTATTTTTCAGTTAGCTGTTGTTCGAATTTGGAATGATTTGATTGGTTGACTGATTGACTTGGTTGGTTTATTTCAGTACATCTCTTTTCTTAGGTTGAATTTTGGAACTTGAGATTTATTTTTGCAATGACTTTGAGAGGCTGTTGTCTGAGTGTGAATGCTTTGTGTTGCTTTCGTCACAACACAACAGTTCTTCTCATGTTTTAAGGTTGACTGAATGTTGCATAATGCTCCCGACATATTCTCATCTATTACCCCACTGACATTTCCTTTGTATTTTCCCCTCCTTTTTTCTCCACACCGCATGCATCTGTACATTTACAAAACATCATTTTGCCAAGTGCATCTGTTGTTTTTTTTTTTTTACTTGTATCTGTATGTTATTGAAATGTCACTAGAATTGGGGAGCGCATGCTGGAAAATGTCATTAGAGAGAAGACATGCAAATGAGAAAGAAACTGATTTGTTTTGGATGTGTTTTAAGTGTTTCTGAATGCAATTTCGAAAACACACTGGTGACATGGGTGTTTGCCATGACACACTATACTGTTTTTGTTTTGTTTTACAACACTGGGAAACTTTGCATGCAGATTTACTCTAACATGGACAGTATTTACTCCTGACTTATACGTATCATAACTTATGGAGCCCTCTCTTTACGTGCTGTAGGTCAACAATGCAACAGCCCGAGTAATGACAAATAAGAAGACAGTCAACCCATATGCAAATGGTAAGGTCCATGTTTACAGTTAAATTAAAAATATTCAACCACGTACCTTTTCAGGTTTTAGGGTTTTACAACATTCAATTTAATGTGAGTTCTTTGACCCCGATCAACAGACAATAAAAGTGATACTGTTAAAGTGATAACAGTTAAAGTGATAACAGTTAAAGTGATCTACACTGATTACAAATTTAGATTACAAAATATGTGTTTGCATAAGTATGTACTCCCCCAGGACACAGCAAAAATGAATACCTTTGACCATGACCAGCAAGTCAAGTAACTTTGGAAAAAGTGATTGAAAAGCTCAAGTCAGAGAATGGAAACAAGAACATTTCCAAGTGACTTTGCATCTCCAGTCCAGTTAAATCAGAGTATGGAATTCTGGCAAAAAGTCGCTTATATCGAAGGCTTGGGATGAAGGGAAAAAGTTCAGCTTGTGAGGGTTAGGAGGCCAGAGTTTGAAGAGGATACATTGGAGATGGAAAAGTCATCGGAAAATAATCTTTGATGGTCCGATGAGTGCAACACCAAGCCTTTTGGTCATCAGAGCAAATGCTACGTTAGGTGTAAGCCAAGCACTGCGCATCAGTATTAACATAGCATCCTCACCATGAAGCATGCTTGTGGCAGCATCATGCTGCTGAATGTTTTTCTGTAGCTGCTCCTGGAAGCCTCTTGAGGTAGGAAAACATGATCCATTTTTTCAAGAAGCCTGAATAGGGAGGGGGTTTGTTTTCCAGACAAAGACTCTTAACATAAAACCAGCTACACAACAATGCTTCAACCTTTACAGTCACGGGTGTTCCTTCCAACATTCCTACATACCTCATGTCTTTAGAGATAGAAAGCCACAATGTAAAATCACAGAACTTGTGAACTTTTCAGAATGTACTCTAGCCATGTTCCAAAATTAATCTCTGTATTTCAATGTAGCCTGTGGTGTTTTAATATATACTTAATAGTGAAGTTCATACTGTGTTGACTTACACAGGCTGAAACTTGTCATGACTGACACCTACCACACAGAAATAAGTTAGCACAGTAATCACTAGTCAATCGTAAGAATACTATCAATCCTGTATGTGTACATTAAAAATGCATTTGTGACGGCCTGCATTTTAATTAGATGTAGTTTGATTGTAGCCTTCTGAGTCATCATCCATATCCCAGATTTATTTGGTCATTCAAAAACATCTTGCGTCGTGCTCATTGTACCCATTTCTCCTGTTTGGAAAGAAACGACTGAGCCAATTTAAGCTTTGAAATTAAAATGAGGATGTCATTTGGCGATTCCCAGAAAAATAGACACATTAACGGCAATAAGGATGAGTCAGATGGAATTGAGGTCTGATTTTCAGGCTGTTAACCACACCACTGTTAAAATCTGCCTGTCCTATTCATAAAATCAGGAAACTAGCCTCGAGTCCTCCATAACGCTCAACAGGTTTGAAGTAGATCAATGCTTGTCAAGAAAACTGAAGGACGGACAGACTGATTGATTTCTGGATTTATTAGCAGGATATTTCCAGGTAGATCAAAATTCACTGGGAACATAAGGAGCATATACTTAAGCGTGATAAATGACTGCTCTTTCTCTTACGTATTGTCTGTTTCTTTGTCCCACTGTCTTTCTTGTTTCAGGCTGGAAGTTAAATCCAGTGGTCAGCGCTGTCTACAGCCCAGAATTCTATGCAGGTAAGAGGACATGCCCTTCTCCATTTGTCACCATCTCCTTTGTCATTATCTTCCTTCTCCTCATTCTTCAGTTTTTTTTTTCTTATCCACATCTTCATTTTGTCCTCCTCAACTCCATCCCCATTTTTATTTTGACCTTTATCACTTCTTTCATTTGCTTCCAAGCAACATGCAGCCAAGCAAAGTCTGTTTACAGTGCAGAACTGTGCTGCATTGCACAAATGTAACAATGAACTGTCATCTCTCCTGCACACATACACACACTCTGCACTGTCCCCACCCACAGAATCTCTGCAATCTTGGCCATGCCACCCTTTACCTTGCCCAACCCTTAACTGCTTCCCTGCCCCCAGTCTGTAATTAACTATGGCCATTAAGGTTAAAAAAAATGTGAATTTTGTGATAAGAAGAACAGAGATAGATAAAAGAGTGTGGCAGAGGAGAGGAGGAATGAAGGAAAGTAAAGGACAAGAGAGAAGAAAATCTAGTAGTTCATTCCTGCAAGGACATTAAAAGGTATGAAATATTTTTTGTAAATTAAAATCAATATTTTCACTTTCGGCAGACAGTCGTTTGCCTAATTCACCCCCACGTTCTTTTAATTACAAAATGCCTCTGTATTGATTTACCTTTGTCTCACCTTACCCTAAATACCATTGGGGCATGTTTGTGTGTTTTTTGTGTAGTCGCACATGTGCATAGAGTGCACAAGCTTGTCAGTCTTTTTCTGTATTGCTATTTATGTTATAAAGTTTATAATCGCCAGCTTTTCCTTTTAGCTCAGTATCAGATGATATCTCCCTCCACACTAACATACCTGAAAAAACACATCACATGACCATTTTACATACACTGTTCACGTGTGTGCTGGTGTAAACAGAAAGCAGATATTTTTGTCCGTTGCTTGATAACAGAAAATACAATGAACCAGCAAAATGTAAAAGCAGGGATTACTTTGCTTGGAAAAGTCACAATGTAGAACTGTTAAGTTTTAGCAATCCTTTGTAAAGGGAAGTAAATATGGGTGATTGTGTCATCATTTCTCAGTAAGTCTCAGTTTCTGGCCCTCAAGTCCTAAAAAACAGCCCCTGAATTTGCAGAGCAAGTTTTGTAAGGTGTTGATATTAGTTGTAGAAGGATTTTTTTTTTTTTTTTAAAGTTAAGTAATCCTCTTTACAGATGTTTGCTGCTGCGTCCACACAGTCAGTTCTCACTTGAGCCACTGATTCTCTCTGAACATCTGTGACATTGAGAGCCTTGCTCCTGTCTCCTTTCACTGTGCTGCCTCTGCCTTCTATCTGCTGTAGTAATCCACTTCAAGCATGCTAGTCGAATGTAATTCTTGGAAGCGTTTGTCACCATTGTTCCTGATAAAGTCCAAATCACCACATGATGTCCTGATCTTTAACAGATCTTCCCACCACTGTCAGCTTACTGATCATCAGACGAGCTAATAAAAACAAATACAATGAATCAAAGCTGCTGCCAGGGCACCACCATAAGGGTGGTTTTCCTGTCATAAAGTCACAAAAAAATACTTGGATATTGATTCCTTGGTCTTATTTTATCTGAAGATAAGCAATACTTTTGAAGAATTGACAGCAACATTAAATGAAAATCATATCAGATGGTGTCATATCGCTCTATCAGACTGAAACCTTTAGGGTTGTAGCCTTTCGAAAATTTGACTCATCTGCAGTGGCACAATCTGGCTGATTGGGCTTATATAATATGGAAACATTTCTGCGATATTAGTTATTGAGTCAAGATTTACATTTCTAGTTCAAGGCAATCTGTACATTAGGTAGAATGGTTATTTACTAATCAGTAGGTCCCTGGTTCTTGGTTCTTCATTTAGCGTAGAAGACATTATCATTGTAGCCACGTGCAGCAATTTACAGGTTCTGATCATATGTGTACACAGAAGGAAGCCACTCAATTGGTCTAAAATTAAGTCACAATCAGCCAACAGCAAGTGAAAATGGAAGTGTATGTCAAAGGCAGGTTATGTCAGTAGTGTTCAGTGGTACAGCACAAAAAGCTGTACATCTTCAGATGACATTAGCATATAAATCTTCGATTGAACGTACAAACTGTTCTACTTTTTCTAGTTAGGTAATAAAAATGAAGAGAAAGGAAGAATGGAGAGAGAGAGAGAGAGAGCGATGGGGGAGAGGGTGGTAGTGGAGTGGAGCTATTGCACAGTATTGTTATTAACTTATCATCAATCTTAATGGGGGGCGACTGACACAAAGCTTAATTTGAGAGCTGGGGAGAGTGAAGGTTGAGAAGGAGATCGAGGTGCCATTTCCAACCCTAATTATACATCTCTTCCAAAAGGAGATCTAATAAAATGCTAATAGAAACAGTGAATCATTCATTGACCTGATGAAAAATGGAGGGTTTGAGCCAAAGGATAAGAGTTTCCCAAAGAGAGACAAGGAGAGGAGTGAGGCTGGTAATTGTTCCTATTCATCTTTTGTCACCTTGATTTTAGGGGAGAGTGGCCCTGGCCACCCTTAAAGTCACACTGATGACTCTTTCCGTAACTCCTCTACTTTGCTCCTGATATGGCCTAAATGAGAAAGGTGCTCGGTGTATACAACAGCAAGGGGTAATGCAGAAACCTTGGATTCTTCTTTGGGCGATAGTATGCATCATTTTCTGTACTCTGTCTCCAGTACCAGGTTTTCCCTACCCAGCAGCAAGTGCAGCAGCAGCGTACAGAGGAGCCCACCTACGGGGTCGAGGAAGGACGGTATACAATACATTTAGGGCAGCTGCTCCGCCTCCCCATATCCCAGCTTACGGAGGGTGAGCATCCTTTCTCACTCTTGTCCTGTTGTCTTTGCTTCCTCTTTGGTCCCTCCTCTCTTTCCCTCACCCAATGACAAGTTCTGAATATCTGTGCTCAGAGTCAGTAGAGGGATGCATGCCACGTCTTGTCCGAGATGACATTGCACTCTCCAACTTCCACAGAATGCTGAGTCCACCAAGGCATGTGCCTTTGTACCTTTGCACGGATTCATGAGCAATGCCTATCAATTTGACCTTCTACTGTGGTGCTATTGTGTGAGGCCAACTTAATGGAGAAATGGGAGGTCCTCCATTTTTTGTCCAGTTTACCCAGTTTCCCCTCCCCCCCAAAGAATAAAGGAAAAAAACAAACAAACCAAAACCATCTTCCCAGCCCCAGCAGCAGCTCTGGCTGAGCCTCCAAGGCTGAATCCCCTCAACAAAAGCAAAGGAGAGCTGTGTATTGTGGGTAGTCTTATCCGACTTGCCATTATTATGTTGATTCTTTTTAGTTATTTAGATTTCTATGACTGCAAGTAAACGGACACTAAGGAGGCTGGTAGGGAATCTATTGAAAAGAATGGGAGCAGATATGATTTGTTTTCCTCTGCTCACACTTATTAGGTTTAAATCCAAATCCAACATTTTTTTGGGAATATTGCAATTAATACTGCAATTAAATATGCATTTCTATTCACTGCTGTGATGTAAATATGAGAAGTTGAGTGCAATCATTGCAGAAAGACAGGAACCAATAAGATCATTTTAGAAAATGTGAACAACTGAAAGTGGATGAATTAGCATTTGAAAGAAATGACAAAATCAAGAAAATTGAAAATAAATGTGAGATATATAAGAAGAATGTAAATGTGGCAGCACATGTACTGTTACCTTTGCTTGAATTTTTTGTCCCCACCCTCTGATACTTTACATTGGATTGCTGCTGAAATGATTCCACAATAGCCGCAGCAGTTATTCCGCAGACAATTTGTTAAAATAATCACTTTTGAAAAATAATGTGATATGACAAAATGCTATGTTAAAGGCTTGGTTAAGTGTGAGGCACAAAACAACATGGGGATATCGATGGCTTGGGTTTAAATATGTCCTACCTTTGTGATCAGGGTTAAAAATAGCAACGTTATTAGTCAATTGGGAATGAGAATCAAACCGTGTTTCTTTACAGTTGAATTAACCCTCTGTTCCACCCCAATGTCCCCTCTCCACAGACTTTATCGCTGCATCTATAATAGCCTGATTTCCCTCTTTGCTCCCACTATATTTACTTCAGCCACCAGAAGAAAAGTGCCTTTTCGGGGCTTGTATTGATATTGTTCCACACAACCGTAAGATGCCACTGAACAACACAGCTTAACTTTGGGCTGTAATAGGCTACTTGCACAAACGACCGGAAGGGTTCACATTTCAATGGAGGACAGCACACTCTACACTCCGCATGTGAATCTTTGAAGCTTACTGTAAATTCTCTGATAAAAGCTAAGAATAAAATAATGGTAGAGTCTCAGTTCAGAGTGGATTTTCATTTAAATTCTCTAATTCATTTCAGTTGTTTACTTTTTACCAGCATAAGCAGTTTAAAGCAGTTGTGTGGATGCTCCTGTTTTGCTGCAGCCTACCGTTTGACGGACGAATAGAAACAATCGCAAACTGCCGTCATGGGCATCCCTCGCAGCAGATGGATATACATGGGATAAGGAAGATAGGTGTTTGGCAGCATGATCTTGACAAAGAGATATCTGCTATAGATTGTGCTTTCATTAACGTGGCTGCACTACTTAATTGCTCTGGTGGCGGTAGATGGTGAATTATTGATGTGGACCATGATGTATTTTTATTAAAACTGTTTGTCTCAAGTGGCAGTGAGTTGGCTGCGATTGTGACATAGCCAGGAAACTGCGTTTCGTGTGTGTGTGTTCCCTGATGTCTTTAAGGGAGCCTGACACAACATCGCATCAATAAGCCAATATGTGCATAGAGCTGTGCTATCGTCCCACAGAACATATTTTAATGAGTGAAACAGCTCTCTGGGCCACCTTGACATTTGAGTGGTTACCAGTTATTAGAGACAGTGAAACTGGTCTTCTGAGAACCTCTTCATATTAAACGCGGCAGTATATTGCTTGTTTACTCCACAATATTTAAGGTTTTAACCTTACTATGTAAAGTGCCTTGAGTTAATGTACATGATTCGGCGCTATATAAATAAAATGGAATTTAATTTTTTTAATTGGACACTCTTACACACACAATCATGCATGCACTGGAGAGGTCATAAGGTCATGGGATGACGGAGTTCACTGTAGATCTGTAGAACTTTCCTCTCTAGAATGAACAGTAATATAACTATGATTCGATTTCTGCCACAGTGGGTTTGTCAAAATTCAAACCAGAGAGAGATGCTCACTGTTCGTTTCCTTTATTCATGATGAACACAAAATAAATTCACACAGACCTGCATGGGTTCAGCTTGGCTACTTAATGCCCAGGACCAGTCGCTTTCAGTTGACTTTCCTGCCATTGTCAGCAGCTCTCCCAGGCCCAGGTACTGCGTTTAACAGAGGGATTACTGGTGTCAACTGTGCGGATAAACTCACACTTTTCTCCTGTGGTTCGATGCCAGCACGCCCTCCCTCACACATACATTTTATTTTAGGAAGAACAGATACTAATTCAATTTCACACAGTTGAGATGAATAGCCTAAAAGTATTAAAAGTAAGGTGAAGGTGAATTTTTCGTGCTTATATGAACAAAATGATGCACATCCAAAAAACGTAAAGTAATTTTTTCACTGAATGAACAGAGAGGAATGCAATGAGAAGAGT